TGTCTGTGTGTGTGTGTGTGTGTGTGTGTATATATATTATGAATGAATGAATGATAAAAATATAGTTTTAAGTTATGTTGTACTGACGAGTTAAAGCGATGGATATCAGGGATAGATCTTATGTAACTGTAAATTGGACACTTAACATTACACTCAGCGGCGACAGTCTGTTCCATGCTTAAACACAATGGTCAGGCCATCAATCTCATTTCCATATCTATCTATCTATCTATATATATATATATATATATATATATATATATATATATATCTATACAAAAGTGAGAAAAGGGAGAGAGATAGGATCCCTTTGTGAGTATAAGAAAGTAATTATTTGTGATTATATAATGCTATATTACATAATATGCCTGTGTATGTGTCTATATACTTGTGTGTGTGCTTATTTTGATATTATATGCCAAGAACAGTCATCAAGATAGATAGATATGAACAGACTGAAATAGATAGATAGATAGATAGATAGATAGATATGGACAGACTGAAATAGATAGATAGATAGATAGATAGATAGATAGATAGATAGATAGATAGATAGATAGATTCTCATTTCGTACACACATTTATATAACACAGAGAGTTTCATATACGAACACCCACAAACACATACGTTCTATGGGCACTATGGAGGGAAATATAATTTTCAGGTCGTGTTTGTTTTAGCGTTACTAAAATACGTCTCTTCGTTTCTTTTATATTATGGTGTTGTTTTTCCTTTTGGTTCGTGTCAATTTTTGTGTTTCGTTCGAACAAAATATCATATTTCTGTGATTTTACTCACTTTTATATCGTTTGGTATCTTTTATTTTTTCTTTTGTCACCGGACACGTACGGATTCAAGTTTTTGTTCTCAGGAAAGGATGTATTCATCTTTGTCATTAGATCCATTTTTGGTTACTTTTTTTTATATATGAAAACGGATACATTTTGAACATTACTGTTTCTATTTTGTGTGGCCATGTGCACCCCATCAACCCAAAGCACAAGGGAGCAGATGAAAATCTGTATATGTTTAAGTGTTAATAAAGACAAAGATCTAATCATGCAAAAGTGTTCGAACAAAGAAAATTTAAACGACAATTAAGTTTCGTCTATGCGAGTATATTATGCGTTTATAATTTAGTACGTCATAAACAAACATAAATATATATATATATATATATATATATATATATATATATATATATATATATATATATTGTGTGCATTTAGGCAGCAACTTTTCAATGATGCATGTTTCATTATATAATATAGACAAGTATTGTCTATTTATTTTAAGTAAGTTTGTTTCATATTGTCAGAAAGGCTTAATGACATTATCATTGAAAGACGAAAGGAAATCACCATATTGATACATATTTTAATCCTATCTAAGCTTTCGGCTTACAAAAGCCATTATCAATGATGACAATTACATTTTAATATATCGAACAATACAAGGACAAAACAATAATGATGGTCTGTTTTCGTTGCATGAAAAATTTCAAAGCAACGACAAACTCGTGTATACGAGACGCAGAAGCGAAAAGCGCATTGCAGCTCGTGACGTCACACATGACCACGCGAGAGTGAAAACGAGAAGTATTAACTACGGGAAGCCGTATGTGTATATATATATATATATATATATATATATATATATATATATATATATATATATATATATATATATATTAATAGATAATCTTATTCGAAGTTGAGGACCGATTTTGATTTTATTTTTATATTATATTATGCGTGTCTGTGTTGTTGGTGTGTGCGTGACTCTGTGTGTGTGTGTGTGTGTCTGTGTCTCTCTCTGTGTGTGTGTGTGTGTGTGCGCGCGCGCGCGCGAGCTTAGATTGCAAATCTTTAAGTCAAATGATTGCCCATATTTCATCTAAAACAAAATTTGGACAATTTCTGAAGGAATTCCCTCCCTTTTCGAGAAGGATTACGTTAATTTGCAAAAGGCGCCCAATAAAAACCACCCGACACAAAATGTCTGTTTTCTTTAATAACATTTGCCTTAAAGGACATATGTGAATGTGTATAATAATGTGTGTGTGTGTGTGTGTGTGTGTGTGTGTGTGTGTGTGGTTAATGTTGTGCGATGATTACCAATCTTGTTCCGACGATCAATTCAAAAGTGGCACGAGTTCGGCCATCTTTTGATGGATTCATGACTTTCCCTGTGAGTAAATGTAACTAAATCAACTGGAATTTGAACTCGGCTCTTCGTTTTCTCAACCAGAACCGTTCCTCATTACCTCACACTCACGTCCAAGTTTACACCACCTGGTATTCCCAAGCGGTCACCCAGGCTCACCTTTGTTTAACTTCAGTGATCCAATGAGAAGAAGCGTTTCAACGTCAGATTATATGTAGTTTACGGCCATGTGTGTGTGTGAGTGTTTGTGTGTGTATATATTATGCATATATATATATATATATATATGTGTGTGTGTGTGTGTGTGTGTGTGTGTGTGTGTGTATATATATATATGTGTATCTGTGTGTGTATTATACACATAAATATAGATAGGTATGATAAAAAAAAAAACGTATACGCATATACACTGCACGTATATATATATATATATATATATATATATATATATATATATATATATATATATATTTCTCAGTTGTTAGAAAACTGTGCTCATTAGTATATGGCAGAGCTAAAACGTATATATTACTGAATATACATAATGTCTATACATAATATATATATTATTTATTATAATTTTTCATAGATACAAAAATAATTTATTCAATACAAAGTTGCAACTTCGTTTCGGTGCACTTAGTTTCACTTCGACTGGTGAGAACAAAAATGGTTATGAATAATTCTCTGTATTTTTCATAACTATACTGGTTGTCACCATTCAAGGTGCAGCTAAGTGTACCGAAACAAAGTTGCATCTTTGTAGTGAGTAAATTGTTTTTGTCTATATTCATGCTAAAACAAGGCCACGCATAAAAGATCGGACATGATAAAGTCTCGATAATATAGAGATTTCTAATTACAGTTTTATGTACCATGACAATTCTTTGCAGATAAGCATTAACTTGCTGTCTTAAACTAAATTCGAGGAGACCATTTGTGCAGAAACAAATATGAAACTGGTGATTTTGAAGGGGAAGATGGATCAGCGAGAGATAGACAGGCAGCTGGAAATTTAATATTCAGGACATTTCGGCTGTTATACGCTCCGGTCTTCTTCAAGTTATATACGCTGGAATTTCGAACCGGACACTTTATTTAATCCAGCGGTGTGGATGTTCCATGCCTTTTCTTGATATCTCAGTTTCACTTATTTCCCTTTTCAGTAACTCAACTCTCCAGCCCGACACCAGCACATGAGATTTGATTATAGTGGTGATTGTTTTGTGCAGAACCATCCACACTTTTTGAAACGCTTTTATACACAGAGATATCCAGAAAAGGCATAGGAACGAGAACGATCTACCCCATTACAATGCTTAACATGTTCTATCGCCCACCATGATTAATTAATGAAGATGCAGTAATTTATTTTGCTGCGCAGAAAGATCATAAAAT